TACATGAAAAATTAATGATGAGTTAGCTTAATAAACTATGGTCTAAAAATGTTTCCTTACAAAAAAATGAAAATTAATTAATATTTTCAGAAACGCTTGTGATATTTCACTGATATTTAGTATGTAGTGAGAGGTAATAAAGTTGCATATTTTTCATTGCAAAAAAAATGTTTAGCTTCAACAGTTTCGTGCGTACGGGTATTGACTTCGATATTTTTTGAGAAAAAAATGGTATGCCAATGGTTTTTTGCCAAATAATTTAAAACAAATGATCTCTCTTGAATTGTTTTCCTTCTATTGTCTAACTTGCAAAATTATTATTAATTTAATTGGAAAAATTGAACACATTAGGGGTAATGAACAACAGCAACTGACAACATAAACAAAACACTAAAAATAATGAAATCATTACAAAAATTGTTGAAAATGGCCCCCTACACTTAGTATGCATGCTTCCGCCCTCCTCATGGAATTGCGCACTCGTTGAAATATCCCTGGAATGTTTTTTATTCTATCACAAGCTGCAACTATTCTTTGTCTCAATTCCTCTACGGGGTTAAAGGGTATTGTGTACACTAGTGTCTTAAGATAGTCCCACAAAAAGAAATCTAAACGGTTGAGGTCTGGGGACCTTGGTGGCAATTCTTGGGGCCCACCGCGGCCAATCCAACGATTTGGATAAACAGTTTGTAAACAACTACGAACCGCTACACTGAAATGCGCTGGTGCACCATCATGCATGTACCACATATTGTTTCTTATTACTAACGGAACATCATCAAGCAGCAAAGGCAACTGTTGTTGAAGAAAATTGAGGTAAGTCTGTCCGTCAAGTCGTCCCGGCAAGAAGAATGGGCCAATAAAGTGGTTGCCAATAATTCCTGCCCATACGGTAACCGAAAATTGGTATTGGAAATGGGTTTCGGTTACGGCATAGGAATTTTTTTCTGCTATCAAATGATTATTGTGGAAATTCTGAATGGCATTTCGAGAAAAATTAGTTTCGTCCGTGAACAGAATCATTGATTCAAATTGCGGATTTTGAGTAATTTTTACCTTCATATGTTCCTTTTCCGACAGAACCAGTTTCAACAAGACGACGATGAATATTAGAAAAGGTTCGACTATCGGGCAAAGCACGATCGGGATATCTCTGGTGATAAATCCGTCTGGCTTGCTCACCATTACCATCGGCAAGGTCATATACGTAATGCATTTCCGCCATTTCTGCATTTTAATAATTCACCATTATTAACAAGATTGTAAAAACTAAATAATGAAAAAGATGTCACAGCGAACAGATTTGAATAACAGAGACTTGTCAGATGTCAAAAGCCAGTGACATATTCCAGAGCAACTAGATATTTATTGCTAAATTGCATTCTTCAATTATTACATTAATTTTCTGGGACAATAGAACGGTTTTTATTTTTTTACTCAAAAATGGCGCATCGAAGGAAAACAATTCAAGAGAGATCATTTGTTTTAAATTAAACGGGGAATTCAAAAATTATTTTTATTTATTAAAATATGTAACTTTATTAATTTTTCCCTACGTACTAAATATAAGGGAAATATCTGAATCGGTTCTGAAAATATTAATTAATTTCATTCCCTTGAATATTCGCATATCATTAACAAACACCCTATATAGTATATTGTATATATATTTATAAGAAACCAGCTGATTCTACACATCTTGGATTTTTCCATAAATTTGCCCGTAAAACTTAGAATGATTAAGAAATATTTTCAACAGATGGGTCTCTGGGTATAAGTGAATCGCCATGGGTTTCTATTTTCTGTTAGGTACGTTCACGGATACCCACAGAATTTTTTATCAGCGGTGGGGGAATTGATCAGCAAGAGATAAGCTCTTATTAAAGTGTACTTGCCTCTCGATTTTTTTTGAAGAGCAAGGAGTAGCAAGTTATCTCGGGGGGAAATCCCAAAAATCTCAAAAAATTGTAATTGACTCACTTGATACTTTAAATTTTTTGTTATATGTGTTCGTATGTACAATTTTTCTCAGAGGGGCTAACTTGTACCGAATCACTTATAAACTGAAGACAGTGCATGGGCGTAGCCAGCAGTACCGCCTGGGGGGTATCAAAAGAAAAGTTCTGCAGAACTAAAGAACAAAAAAATTGTCTTCAGGTCCTCCTAGTTTATTTTTGGAATCACAATTTAAGCATGTATATAAAAAAAACCTTTTGTAAATTTTTGCCTTTGATATTCTCCGATCTTTGCTGTGACATCTTTTGTCGATGACTCCTTTACTTCAATCCACTTTTTTAACAAAAACCTAAAATATTTAACAAAAAATGATGATAAATTGATATACTTGATATACCTGTATAGTTCGCCTTTTGCCACTATCATAGTTAGACAAACAGGAAAATGAATGTTTGAAGAATATTTAAAAAAGTGGAACGCTGAACTTGTTAAGAAAAATCGTAAGATTTTGCTCTTGGTCGATAACTGCCCCGCTCATCCAAATATTTCACTTAATAACATCAACCGTCAATTCAATTTTTTCCACCCAATGTGACATCATTTCTGAAACCAATGGACCAGGGTGGCATTTGGAGTCTCAAAGAAATGTATGGGACACATATGTTGATGAAAATTATGGAGCTTCAAGAAGATGTTAACATTACCAAAGCTGTCACCATTTTAGATGCTATAAATTTGCTTACTATTGCATGTGAATTGGTTACTCCAAAAACGATTCGTAATTGTTTTGCCATGCTAATTTAGTGAAAAACATAACTGAAATAGTCAACGATTTTAATCCAGAAGATGAGATTCCATTAAGTGATTTACTGAAAATTAATAGTTTACTGAATACCGACAAATTCAGTGAGTATGTAAATGTTGACCATAATTTAATAGCAACACAGGAATTGTCAGACTCCAATTTGGTTAATGAAGGATCCGTTGATAACGAACTAGAAAACAACGATGAAGAAGAGCTTCCAGTCACAACTAAGGAGGCATTAGACTGAGTGAAAAAGTTGCAACGTTATTTTTGGCAACAAGAAGACAATACAGCCAAATTAAATAAAATTCAACTTGCTGTCAGAAATAATTATACAAAAAAACAATCTGTTGAAATGGAGGTTATTAACTTTGTTTACCAAATAATTTATGGTTTTTACACATACCTACACAGTACGTAGGTATGCCTGTAATATGTGTATCAGATTCTGGAAAAATGCAAATTTCAAAATTTTGTATGTATCTTTATTTATGTAATACATGTTAAACAAACACATTTTAAGCTTTTAATATGTTATTTCTGCTGTTTTTTTTATTAAAAAAAAGTGTTTCTTTTAAGATGGTTATCCGCCCATAATAGACTATCTGTGAAAATCCCGCCGAGTCCATTATAAGCGGGTTGCACTGTAGTCACAATGCAGGGGCGAAATCAAAGAACAAATAATAATAAAATTGACAGTTGCAAGATTTATGCGGCGCTGTAGGTTTTAAACTTTTAATTTTGATCATGCTATATAAACTATTATTTAGAATTCAGAATTTGCTAACAATACCGCAATACCCAAACCAAAAGTCAACTTTAAATTAAACAACTGATTTTTGGAACCAGCATCAGCCATAGGTCTGGGGTGGGACTTACCCCCTCTACCCGCCGCTTGGATACGCGCATGTGATTGCGTTGGGTGGAAGTAGGTACAGAGTCAATCTACTTGAATCCACCTTTCGTCTCAATTTAAGGCGGCTCCGACGCAGTGAGTTTCAAGCCATTTACAAGGGTTCAGTTGCTACGAAACTGACTCCATTTTTCAATATTTATGAGTGAAATTCATACAGTATGTTCGAAAGACAATTGCCCAGGGTGCTATCGGAGCACTTTTTGAAATTTTGTTTTTGCACAAGATTTATGGTGGGTTAAAATGCTTACTTTTTTGTTGAACTTGACGATTTTTTTAAAAAGAACCTAGTAGAAGAAATGAAAAAGTGGCTCAATAGCGCCCTGTAAGGACATATTCAGATAATTTTTTGACCTTATTTCATATAATAAAAAATAATATCGTGTGTATAAGTCACTCTGCAAATATGTAGGTGTTCATGTTCGCGATCGCTGATGCAAAGTATAAGGTTCGTAATTAGTTAATGTAACTTTTGAACTTATACCCCAGTTGTCTCTCTGATCTACCTTACACTATCTTACACAATAAATAAACCTAAGATGCTGAATATACTGATTTTCTTCGGCAAATCAAAGCCATTTTACTTCGCCGCCAGTGGCGTGAAAAATTTCGAAAATAAGATGTTTTTTTAGGTCTTATAAAACAAACTATATCACTCATTTCCGTCTGTCCCTCTGCTAATCCTTTGCCCGTCTATAACTTGGAAACTACGGATTTTTATGAAATTATCACACAAGGTTATTACTAAGCCAAAGCTTTGTAGTTTCAGTCCAATGGCAACCGCGCTATAGGCAAAAAAAGAAAAAATAATAATTCCGTTTTTGACGTTTCAGGGGTTCCTCATCATTGTAAAAAAAATGCAGTGCTTAAAAGGTGGGGGTTAGGGAAAGGTGAGATTAAATGTTGCATTTTTGATGTGTGAAACACGTTCTATTATAAATTAGCTTCTGATCCCGCTAATTACAGAAAATTTAAATGACGGAAATCCGACGAATAATGTGTTCACGATTTGAAAGAATCGGTATCTACGTTATAGGTTTTTCACGGAGAGCCAACAGATCTGCAACTGCCGATAGTAGGGAGGAATAAATTCGGATATTTATAATGGGGATTATTAGGGCTAGATTGCCAATCGAAATTCGTCTTTGTCATTATGAAAATTCACCCCGGTGTGCGCCCGCAGTCATCCTTCAAGACCAGCCCAATGACGTTTCCTGTTCATCCCCCCGTTACCTCAGGAGATGGTCCTCGTGATCATGGGAGCCGCGTTAACATTGCCATTTTATGGAAATATCAATTAAAGTATAATTTTATTTTTTGTTCCAGCCACCGGCCGTCGTTCCTTGCCTCCGGTCCACCCTGCCACCACCATCGACCAGCACAACGGAGGAACCGTCGCCGTTGACGCGACGCGTTCGATGATGCTGTCCGCGGCGGCGGCTGCCGGGCTGTACGCCTCGGTCGCCGCCACCGGGGGCGGTCACACCACCCACCACCATCCACCTCCCTCCTCGGCTCCCCACCACCCCCACCAAACGCAGATGCCGACTGTTGTCACTGCGGGGGCGGGCACCCCTCCGTACAGCCCCCCGCCATCCAGCGCCGTCGTCGGAGGCGGTCACGCGGGGCAGCATCACAGGCACAGCCCGCAGCTGCCTAGTTTCGGGTTCACGCAGGAACAGGTCGCGTGCGTGTGCGAGGTAAGTTATAAATAAAAAAAAGGGACAATTTTAAAAAAAAAGCTATATCAAAGAAGGCTGTGAAAACGATCCATGTAACTACGGACCTATTTCCGTAATACCAGTTATAGCAAAAATTTTCGAAATACTTCTGAAGAATCAGATATGTGAATACCGCGAATCTAACAATCTGTATATGTAAAAATGAATCCCTATTTCCCGTGGTCACGCTATAACTTGAGAACGACTTTACCGATTTCATTTATCTTTCCTAAAAAGTTTCCTAATACTGGATAGAAGGTTCTTACGGAAAGAAAAATCAAGAAAATAGCGCAGATATGTGGGAAATCATTGAAAACCTAATAATTATTTGAGCTTTTAAAAACACGGGGCTTTCGTTTTTGAACTTTCATTTCTTTACAATCCGTACTTTGTGATGGTCTTTTCAAAAGAAACTGCAATTGTTGCGTAATGGTTATCATTGTCAGTTAACTCTATCAATAAAAGTGGCGGATGAAAATGCGTTTATTTTGTTTAATTGACTTTCACTACTCTGTCATTAAAATTTTTATTATTTGCAGTCACCGAAACTTGGTTGAATGATGATATCGGATCTTCGGCTATCCGTATTCCCAATTACAATTTTATACACGCGGACAGAATCGGTAGAGGGGGAGGTATCGGCTTCTTTCTAAAAGAACACATAAAATTCAAGTTGCTCCGTACAAATATTGATCCCCTTTTGGAAGAGCAATGGATCAGTTTCAGATTCGATGGCAAAACGTATACCTTCGGTGCATTGTATCGACCTCCTTGTTCCAATATTCTGCAAACATTTGACAGTATTGAAAATACCTTATCTATATTATTACCATCTGCGGATGTTATTGTAATTCTAGGTGATCTCAATATAAATTTATTGATTAATTCATCGGCTACGGATATTATGCTAAATTTTTTAGAATCTTTCAATTTGAAGCAGGCAGTAGATGCTCCCACGAGAGTTACAAGCCACTCACAAACATTGATAGATGTTATTATCTGCTCAGATGGAGAAAATGCAAGAAACTGCAATGTTGTACCAGTTCATGAGTTATCTGATCATTCAGCTGTTGTTTGTCACCTCCATAAAACGTTAAGCAACCGGACGCAGAAGTTTTACACGTTTAGGGACTTTCGTAACTTTAATGAACATACCTTTTATGATTTATTTCATTCGACTCATTGGGATGATATTTTTCAATTAAACAGCGTTAATGACATGGTAAATTTTTTAAATAGCAACATACTAAATTTATTTGATAATTGTGCACCTATGAGACAATTAGAGTTACTAAGCCACCAGCTCCTTGGCTAACATACAATATTAAAATGATCAATAAAGCTAGAGATAAAGCGTATCTAAAGTTTAAAAGAAGTAAGTCAACTGCCCACTGGAACTATTATAAAGAACTCCGTAATTACGCTGCTGCTGCTCTGCGGAGAGAGAAAAAGGCTTATATGGAATACCTATATCCTATCTGGGAGGAACAGTAAAGCAATATGGAGTTCTCTTAGGAAACTTAATATAATTAAGTCCTCTATAAATACTCTTCCAGATAGCTTCAATGACGCAGATGAAATAAATTCACATTTCTCAAATATTCCTATCATAACCAAGACCCAAAAGCAATTAGAACTACTGAACAAATATCAAAACAATAAGTCTCCCAAGTCATTCTGTTTCCAAAAGGTTGCCAAAGAATCTGTTGCGAAGAGTTTCTCATTTATTAAAACTAATGCTGTAGGGGCTGATGGAATCTCACTCATTATGATAAAATACATTTTCACTTTGCTCTTAGACCATATTACATTTACAATCAATCACGCAAGATCAACATCCTGTTTCCCTGATGCTTGGAAGCAGGCTATCATCATACCTATTCCTAAAGTAGCGATTCCCACGTCTGTAACGCAACTTAGACCAGTCAGCTTACTTCCCGCGTTTTCGAAGCTTTTGGAACGGGAAATGAAGATACAAATATCTCAGTATATTTTCAGTAATGAAAGTTCCATCAATGCAGTCTGGATTCAGGGAAACCATAGTACAACAACTGCTCTACCCAATGTCACTGATGATGTTATAAGAGGCCTTGATCAAGGAAGTATCACTTGTTTAGTTCTGCTGGATTACACAAAAGCTTTCGATATGATAGACCCTAAAATTCTGCTACTTAAGCTGACTTACTATGGTTTTACTGATGCTGCAGTCAATTTGATAAGCTGCTATTTGTCAAATAGAAATCAAAAGGTCTTAACAGCTTCGAAAATGTCACAGTTAACTGCTATAAGTTTTGGTGTTCCTCAAGGTTCCATACTGGGACCTTTACTTTTCTCTCCATATATATCGGATTTTCATCAATATGTCCATAATTGCACAATCCATCACTATGCTGATGATACTCAAATTTATTTTAGTTTCCAACACAAAGATTTTAAAATTGCAGAAGCATTGCTCAACGAAGACTTAACAGGGCTAGTAAAAATCTCGTGCTCGCACAACCTAAAAATTAATCCATCTAAATCTTCAGCTATGGTTTTCGGCTCAAAAAACAAAAGAACATTGATCGAAACGGAAATTAACCTTAAAATCTATGATTGCCGGCTTCCTATAATGAACGAGTGTAAAAACCTGGGACTCTGGATTGACACAGAACTAAAATACAAAAAACACGTAAATTCGTTATGTAGTGCATCATACTGCATTTTGAAACAGTTTTATCCACATAGGCAAATAATATCTACTTCAGCAAAGCTGAAACTGTGTGAAACATTAATTATATCAAAGATCAGTTATTGTGACAGTATATATGGCGCAGCTCTATCATATAGTGAACAAAGCAAATTACAGCGTATTCTGAATTCGTTCATCAGATTTTCTTGCGGAATACGAAAGTTTGATCATATTTCTCATAAATTTAAGGAACTCTGCAGATTAAAAAAACAACCACAATATTTGCATAATAAGTTAACACGATGTAGTGACATAAATCAACTGAATACAAGTAATAGGAATATATTAGTGATACCCTTACATTCTAAGGCTGTCTACAAAACATCATTCAACTACAATGCTATTAAATTATATAATGATCTGCCTGTTACATTCCAAAACTCTACGTTATTTAATTTTAAAAAGGGGCTTAAACTAAAACTACAAGTCGAGGTCTGATGATGAGTACAAAATGCTAGAAATATGGACTATTCTTGTAATTGTTCTGTGTTGTTAATTATTTAGTAATTATTGAGAATAATGGATACATTTTTGTTGGTGGAATGTTTCATTATATATATATATATATATATATATATATATATTTTGTTAAGGTTAAGGTTAAGTTGAAAAACGCTAATCTAAGCGACACTTCGCCTTTTTTGTACTTTTACTTAGGTACGAAATAAAGCCCATTTATTATTATTATTATTATTATTAAAAAAACGAAAAGCTAAAAAATCTAGTATTTTTCCCATGTATAATACACAAATTTTTTTTTGACGGTAAAAACGACGATTTAACATTGAAAAATTATATTATTACAATATTTAAGTCAGAAAATTATCGATGTGAAATTTGAATTTTGAAATTAGTAGGCTGTGTTGTAACGACAATTAGTCATGCGTTGCTAAGGAAACTTTTAAAGTAATCAAATAGCTGTCAATGTAATTTTGTAATTTGATTTAAAAATTGTGAACTTAGTGGTTGTTTAGAAGTTATTTTTAATACTATAAAGTAAAAAATATCTGATTCCGAGTTGTGTTTGACTCCACCGGATTTAGTGGAAGTAGCCAAAGTAGCGGCACAAAAATTATTGCCAGCTAAATCGCGGATTCCGACTGTTGTACCGAATAGTTTAAGGAACGTGTCAGTGATGCAATGCACATTTAATAATTGTACTTTTGATATAATGGAAATGAAACTTTATATCAAATTAAATATTCTAAAATTAAATATAAGGAGTGTTCCTTAATGATATGCGAATATTTAAGGGTGTGAATCTACACGAAAAATTGATGTTAGTTTGCTTTATAAACTATGGTCCAAAATTGTCTCCTTACAAAAACTCGAGGTGTTGAAGTTTTAGGAAAAAAATGGAAATTAATCAATATTTTCAGAACCGCTTCAGATATTTCATTGATATTTAGTGCGTAGTGAAAGTTAATAAAGTTGCATATTTTTCAGCGCAAACATAATTTTTAGCTTTAACATTGGCATGCGTACGGGTATTGACTTCGATATTTTTTAGGGAAAAAATAGTACGCCAACGGTTTTTTGCTAAATAAAAACTATTTTTGAATTTCCCGTTCAATTTAAAACAAATGATCTCTCTTGAACTGTTTTCCTTCGATGCGCCATTTTTGAATAAAAAAATAAAAACCGTTCTATTGTCTAACTCGCAAAATTATTATTAATTTAATTGGAAAAATTTCAATTTAATACCATAGAATCCATGAAATTCCTTGGAGTATTTATTGATGCAAACTTAACTTGGGAAACACACATCACCACTTTATTAAAGAAGTCATCTAAAATAACTTATTTGATCCGTACTTTAAATGCCTAGGAAACAAGATCGACTTTGATGACGCCTCATTATGATTACTTCTAATCGAACTTACAATACTGCATACTGATTTGAGGGGATTCATCTTATGTATTGACGGGTTTTGCTGTTCAGAGACGCTGCTTGAGAATAATAAGCAAACTTGCATTTCAGATAGTGTTGCGAGCTGGCATTTATTGATCTAAAAATGTTAACTGTACCATGCACATACCTACATATATCCTTGGAAAGTCTGATACATGTTAAAAATAATTATGATGGCTACCGAACCCCAAAAGAAATTCATAAACATAACACAAGGTTCAATAATGAATTAATACCAGAATACACAAGACAAGCTAAAACCAGACACGGAAGTAATTACCTCGGTGTAAAATTCTTTAATGTCCTGCCCAGGTTTTGTCAAACACTCAACCCAAA